AATCAAGTGGTCTCTTTTGTCCTGGATGAGTCAATCGTCTTGAGTGTTTTCCAGGCCAAGTGGGAAGCACTATACCCCTGATGTGCCTTATAAACAGCGATCAGACTCTGGGAAGTCAGGATTTCACTTACTCACCACAGAATTCCTCGAATCTAATCTACCTTTGTGGCCATTGTGTTTGAATGGCTAATCCAATTAATTTTCTGGTGTATAGAAACTGGATATTGATGGTGGGGATTCCCATTGAATGTCAAGGGAGATATTTAGATTCACTTTTAATAGAAATGCTAATTGTCTGGCACTTGTGCAGTGGTGAATGCTATTCAGCCCAAATCTGAATGTTGTCCAGGTTCTGCCTCACATGGACACAGACTACTTCAGTATCAGAATTTGTGAACGGAGTGAATATAAATGCAGAAAGTGCTGGAAATATTCAGCTGCGATGCCAGCATCTTTAGATAAGAAACAGAGTTAATATTCCAGGCCTGTGCATCAGAACTGGGGCATGCACACAGGAAAGGATCACACAAGCTGGGTTGAAAATAGATAGGTCTGGGTGTGGTTGGGTTGAAGCCAGTTTGATAGATGTTCATATTACCGACGCCAAGGCTGAACACATTCTGCTGCTCTTCCTGTTAGCCTAAATATAATTAATAACACTCAACGTTTCAGTTGCCAGGTTTTAGTCAATGGATATTTCTACAGCTTGGTCCACCAATTAGGCAATTTGTGTTTTTTAGAGTCTTATTCACATTTACATGTTGAATGAAATTTTGAATTCAAATTACGAATGAAATGCATATCTTAGATAAATAAACATCTGGGCAAAACCACTAACAACAAATAGTTCCCTACCAACCAGTCACTTCTTTCTAATCTCAACATAAGTAACTGCCTGAAATTGGAAATGAGAGAGATTTAGAACATCTAAAATTGAGATGCTTTAATGACTAGGTCTAGCACATAAAATGCAGCTATGTCAAAATGTTTGTGGTTGTCACACGTACACTTTGTTGTACACAATACTGTTATAATTTTGCTTACACAAAGGAGCATGGACAAGGATGTCTGCCCCTGACTAAATGGACATGCACGACTGCTCCAAACCACATCACATTGGCATAGATAAATACCTCACTCCAGTACCATTGTACACAATCTCCCATTAAACTGCTGGATTCCAATAGCTGGGTATACCAAATGCCAACACTGTTAACGTCAGGCATAAAATCCATGCTGGGATGTTAAATCAACTTTGCAAAGTATTTCTGCCAGCTCTTGGCTCAATCATTGAGGTAGGCAAAACACAAATAAAGCAACTATAAAAGGCATGAGATGACCTCAAATTCATTGATGATGATGATGATGCCCATTTGAAATAGAATTTCATACCCTCTCCTCTATTAGAAAAGTACTCTCAGACAAAGCTTCCTAATGCTGCAAGCTACATATAACAGCACTATGATTGCAAAGCACAGGAAGCCATTATCAATGATTGAAGAGTTTTAGAATTTTTAAGTAATCTCTGATTGCCTATAAATTTATTGTTGTGATGAATGTATATCCTATAGCATAATAAGCAGTAATAACCAATAGGTAACTGAAAGAAATGACAACCTACCAAATAAATTAATTCATGGACAAGAAGTCACCTTCAGTGAAAAGTCAGAAAAGATGCAATATATGTGAGTAATTCCAAAAGGCGAACATCCAATAGTTTAGATAAGACTGCTTCACCGTACATCTTTACAATCTTCATTTTTTTTTTCCCCAAGGTTACTTCTTCCTATTATCCCCTTTCATTATGTGAAAATCCTAGGAAATGTTGGCAAAGCAAATGCAGCCATGTAGAAATTAGCTTACGTGACCATTTTGTCATTATTGAACTGGCATATGAAAAGCAATGACTCTTTGAAACCTTGGTAAATGGTGGAATAAAATTATCTTTTCTGCTAGGGGAATTCAGAACACATGCATATGACTTTCACATTGAAGTGAGGCTGTTTGGGTAATTTCAGGAAGGACTTCTAAACAAAAAGAGTCTTGGAAATATGGAAACTCTTCCCTCCCCCCTCACCCATTAAAAGAAGCCACTGAATCTCTTCCCCTTAAAAAAAATGCTGTTGAGCCCAAGTCAATTTTAAATTTCAAAACAGGCTAATAGATTTTTGTTAGTCAAGAGTATTAAGAGTTACAAAAGGCAAGGTGGGTAAAAGAAGTTGAGATAGAGATTAAACTAGATCTAATTGAATGGGGGACAGGTTCAAGTAGTTGAATAGTGTGCTCCATTCCCAATGTCCAATCATGCCATTACTTCTTAGCATGGTCACATGTTAATGTTTTTGCTCAGATTCTGGGAGAACACAATTTCAGACCTAGTTTTGTGTTACAGATCAAATTTGAGTGGACAAGATCAGGTATCATCATAGCAGCAATGATAAAATCAGAGTTAACGTTTTGGGTCCAGTGACTCTTCCTCAGAACGGGTCACTGGACCCGAAACGTTAACTGTGATTTTTTCTTCACAGATGCTGCCAGACCTGCTGGTCTTTTCCAGCAACTTCTGTTTTTGATCCTGCTTTACAGCATCCACAGTCTTTCAGTTTTTAGTGTGCATATTGGGGTCATTAAGAATACAAAATTGATGGTGTAGTGGACAGCGAAGAAGGTTACCTCAGCGTACAACAGGATCTTGTTCAGATGGGCCAATGGGCTGAGGAGTGGCAGACAGAGGTTAATTTTGATAAATGTGAGGTGCTACATTTTGGAAAGGCAAATCAGGTCAGGACTAATACACTTAATGGTAAGGTCCTGGGAAGTGTTGCCAAACAAAAGAAATCTTGGAGGGCAGGTTCATAGCTCCTTGAATGTGGAGTCACACTTAGACAGTTTAGTGAAGAAGACGTTTGGTATGCTTGCCTTTATTTGTCAGTGAATTGAGTACAGGAGTTGGGAGGATATGTTGCAGCTGTACAGGATTTTGGTTAGGCTGCCTTTGGAATACTGTGTTCAATTTTGGTCCCCTTGCTATAGGAAAGGCGTTGTGAAACTTGAAAGGATTCATAAAAGATATACAAAGATGTTGGCAGGATTGGGGACTTTGAGCTGTAGGGAGAGGCTGAGTAGGCTGGGGCTATTTTCCCTGGAACATCGGAGGCTGAGGGATGACCTTATAGATGTTTATAAAATCATGGGGGTCATGGATAGGATGAACAGTCAAGGTCTATTCCGCCATGTAAGGGAATCCAAAGCTAGTAAGCATAAGTTTAAGGTGAGAGGGGAAAGATTTAAAAGGGACCTAAAGGGTAACTTTTTCATGCAGAGGGTGGTACATGTATGGAATGAAGTGCCAGAGGAAGTGGTGGAGCCTGGCACAATTAAAACATTTAAAATGCATCAGGATGGTATATGAATAGGAAGGGTTTAGAGGAATATGAGTCAAATCCTGGCAAATGGGACTAGATTTATTTAGGATATCTGGTCAGCATGGACAAGTTGGACCGAAGGGTCTGTTTCCATGCTGCGCATCTTTATGACTCTATGACAGACCAATTGAGATCTTTAGCGAATCATTTGAGTCAGCGGTTGAAATGAAGGATTAAAAAGGAAGTAAAATAACAAGTGAGCACAAAGTAAAGCATCCCAACAAATTACAGGCTGGTGAAGTTAACACCTGCTGTAGTCTAAATGTTAATCGGCAATCTTAACAGAGGATAAAACAGTCGGGGATATATAAACCACCCTCTTTGCCAGCAATTATCGCACAATCTTTCATAATGTAAAGTGATGAGACTGGGGGTAAAGAATGCACACACAACTAATTGGTGCCAGTCTACAGCAGATAGCACAAGAGAAAGGTTTTAAGTAGCATTCGTAGACAAATAGTTCAAAGTCCACCTGTACAATGTGTCTCACAAGTAAATAAGGAAAATAGGATATTGACTTGTGACATATGGTGTGGAACACAGGTTATCATATATGGCACAAAGCCTATACAAACCATTAGCTTGTTCAATTATTGCACAATTCTGGTCACTGTATTGCAGAACAAGCACTTGCCACTGAAAGAGATACAGAAAAGGCTTTCCATCCAATAACTGCAATCACTGAGTATAGCAGCAGAATGGTTCTGTTACTGGACTGTTCATCCACAGGCCCGAACTAATTATCCAGAGACGTGTTTAAATCCCACCACAGCAGCTGGGGAATTTACATTCAGTTAATTAAATAAAAAATTGAATTAAAAGGCTAATATCAGTAATGGTGGCCAATCTAACAGATTGTTGTGAAAGCACATCAGGTTCACTAATCTCCTTTAGGGAAGGGCATCTGCTGTTCTCTCCAAACCTGGCCTGTATGTGCAATCAGACTCACAACAATGTGCTAGACTCAGACCTATCCTCTGAAAGGAGTGAGCTGTCCACTCAGTTGCATGCAATAAAGTGACTCGCTAAGAGGGATAGGCAATAAATGCTGATCTTGTTAGAAATGCCTATACCCCTTGAATCAATAAAAATGTCAGAATTTGTGCTACATAAGAGCCTGCAGAAGCTGGTTTTGTTTACAGTAAATATAAGAAAGTATCTTGTTGAACCACTCAAAATCCAAAACGGTGACATGTTTGATCCTGATGAGACATAAGCAGTAAAGTTCAGAAGAAATGAATGGTGTACATTCTTGCCACAACCATCCAGTACTCAAGAACAAGAACTTAAAAGCAAAAATATAAATATTTCATCCACAGGGTAATGTTTTGAGAAGGCAATTGAGACTAATAACAGAAGCAATTTTAGAAGGGACCTGCCAAGGCATTTGGCAAGAATATCAATAGAGACACAAACATAATGAACTGTACATTCCATTTTTGGACTCTGGAACCAGATAAGTAGACTGAAATGTGTTTTCCAAACCTTTGTATTTATATTCTTCTTTGTGAAAGTGTTTTTTTTTTATTTAGACAGTTAAGGTATCGAAACATTACAGTTAAGATTTCACCCTTGTTGAAATTCTTATTACTGAAAAATTTATTTATGTCGGGTTGGTTTCTCAACTTGATTCAACAGATTGGCTCCAGTACTTAACATATTTGGTGCAGCACTTTCAGTATCTCAGTTGAAGAAACTGGCATGACACTTCTCATTTAAAATATTCCTGCAGCTATTGATGAGAAACATGTGTCACTCCAACCAACACATCAACATTACTAACAGCTTTATCAGTTGGAACATATTGCAGAGTAACATCTGGAAATCAAAGAAAAACAATAACAAATTAGAGCGGTATTTGACTCAGCACTTTACACCCTTCTGGCTGCAACATTGAGTTCAATAACTTCAGATTATAAAGAGTTTCATTTTTTCAGACAGCAATTTATACTGGTATCATCTACACAACTCCTAGACCCATCTTTTGTTTCTTTATTACCCTATTACCTAAATTACCCATTGTTTTGTGTGATCCAAGGTGAGAGATTTTTAGTTTATTTTACAATTTGCGCGTTAACTAGCAGCTTGTAGATTTTGGTCTATGTGTTTATGAAGGGGCTGTTAGTTAAACTTGTTTGGTTTTAAAATCATGGCTGAAGAAAAAACTGTCTGTGTGAGGAAGCAGCTCCGGGAGTAACAATGGGAATTCATTTCAGGGAGAGTTTCATGACTAAAGAGAATAAACATTGCATTAGCTTGCTTTTGGTTTAAAAAATGCAAGAATTGATTAATTTTTGCTTAGGAGAAAAACCCACAGTTTGAAAAGCTTTTGGTTTTAGTTCACTGAAGACCTAGCTGAGATTAAGTGTAAGAATAGCTTCTCCTAGACAAACAACTCAGTTTAGACCAATTAAGAAATAGGTTACTTCTGTGAAAGAGTTTAATTTAAAATTTCCAGATCAGATATGTTTGGTTTATGTGAAGCTAAGAAAGTTTAAGTTCAATTGCTAGACTAATCAAGGAAAGGCTCTCAAGACCAACAACTGAAAGAAACAGTGGTGAAATGATAGAGAAGGGAGGTTTGTCTGATATTTCGATACAGGGGGTTCTGCTATAATGCATGTTTCTTCAATGCGAATTGATTTTAATGCAATTGAAGAATTTAGACTGCTACTTGTAGAATGCGAACTATCCTTACCAGTATTGGCTCTAACATAATTCCAGCCCCATTAGTTTAAATGGCGCAACTATTGCGCAATTTTCTTACAATGTAAGATCGCATGAGAATAGAACTATTGCGTTATATCAGAACCAACTGTACTGTAAAGTGATTGTGATAGAATAGATGGGATTTTATTATTTCCATGTGCTTTGAAATCTTTAACATTCTGTTATATGTAAATGGATTGGTTTGTCCTGTGTTACCTTTTTTTGCACAATAAAACTCCATTTTATTGTTAAAACCAAATCTTCAGCATTGTATGCTTGTGTTTCAGTCAAAGATCATCGCATTAAATTTTAAAAGTATGATCTATCAAGCTGGATTTCAGTCTGTGATCCAGTCATACATCAGTTGTGATCATAACATTTGCATCACAATCTTTCTTGTTATTTAATCACTCCTCTCCTCTACTCTCTCACAAAGCTTCACCTTTGTACTACTTCTCAATGCCAGCCTGCTTTTTCCCATTGTTCTGCACTTGCCAATAAACTGCTAAATCTCCGATTTCTTCCATTTCTGTCTGAAGATCATCGGTCTAAAACATTAAGACACTTTCTTTCTCAATCCACAGAGCGTTCTCAGAATTTTCTGATTTTAGTTTACAATTACATTAGGCTGAAATTCAGGATAGAGTAATTGTGGTTATCTTTCAATCAATAAAGGATTAACATGACGCATAAGTGTAACCCTTTACTGTGTAATTCTAATAGCAAATGAAGAATCCCTCTCTATTTGGGATGGAATAGCATAACATGAATGAAACATGTGGCGTGTTCTTGTCCACTATCGCACTGAAATCCCAAGGAAATTGATCATTGCAAAATGCAATAGAACGGCCAATAGTATGACACCAACATTATTTTCCACACCACCAGCACCAAGAAATACATCATTCATGGCTTGAATTGATTAATGACATATCAAACTAGTTGCTAGTAAGAAAATAATTATGCTAGCCTTTTTGGTCCATGACTTTCTAAAGAGCCAAAATCAAAGGGCTTACTTACAACAGAACTAATTACAATTACCCCATATTCACTTTGTTATAAAGCAATTTCTTTGTCAAAATTGAGTTAACTTTTCAACCGTTTCGTTACTACACTCTTTCCCTTGGGTGACATGGTGCGGGATGAACTAGAAAAACTAAAGATTGTTATTTTAATGAACATGGAGAACTTTAGTTTTTCCTAACACAAGATAACTCTTTTATGATTGCAGTAGACTATCCACCAAGAGAGTTATTGGTCAGTCTCCCCATAAGTCAGTGTGTGAATTGTGTTCTCAATGGAAAAACAAGTCACGTGTTGGTATAAATGACATAATGTAAATGGAAGGAGATGACGTATTGTAAATGGAAGGAGATGACCTAATGTAAATGGAAGAAGGAAATGTCTGAAATTGAAGCTGCATTTCCCCAGTGACAAGCAAGACAGTTATGTTCCAGCGAGTCAAGAAACATTTTGCCATATTTTGATTCATACAAAGTTCCTTTCCGAAAATATACAAGTGATATTGAGAGAAAACAAAGCTGCACATGAGGGCAAAACGTATATTGTGATATACATGTCATTGGGGATAGATTAACAAAATTTAGAACATATAGAACAATTAGTTGTCACACCATTGCTGTCATATCTAAACAGATATGTTTAATTTTACTTATTTATAAATAAAGAAGTCTCCCTTTTAAGACAGAGATTAGGGGATTTTCTTTCTCTCAGAGAGTCACCAAATTATGGAACTTTCTTTCCAAGAAGCCAATCGAAATTTGGTCTTTAAATTTGTTCAAGTCTCAGTTAGATACTGTACCTTTTTCATACACAAAGCAGTCAAGTGTCATGGAAAGGGAGGAGGGAATAGACATGAAAGTGGGGCTGAGACCACAACCACATTGATCATAATTTTATTGAATGGTGGAGCAGGCCCAAGGATCTAAAAAAACTACTCCTACTCCTATGTCCTATTTTAACATGCTTGCCATTCATTCTGATTTAATTGTTTGCGAAGTCACATAATTACGGTATTTATATTAAAAAGTGCTGAAGGGCATTGGGGCACAGTGGAAGTATCCCTACTTTTGAAGCAGGTGGCCTGGGTTCAAGTTCCAGCTGCTCCAGAAGTGTATTATAATATCTCTGAACAAGTTGATGAGAAGATATCCCAGAAAGTGCTGAAGGAGGTTGGAATATTAAACAAATGCATGGGTCCAGCAGAGCAAATTCATTCCACATCATGTGCAAATCTCATTTTCAAAAGAAAACTGATTGAGCAGAACTATTCATTTTTTGAAGAACTTGTGTATTGTTGAATATAGTGTGTGCTGTTGAAGCTTTTCTCTTGCACTCATCAGGACAGACACAAGAATAGCAAATTTCAAAGGAAGTATGAATTTATATTACATGAGAAACAGGGTGTTAATGAAGAATACATCAGGGAACAATTGCTCCAATGCTTTGGTCCAAATTCAAAAGGCATATTGACCCTCATTGGTTGGGGCCTGCTGTGGAGAATGGGCCAGGGAACAATGCAAAAAACAGAAGTTTGGAGGTCAAAGCTGAAATGCCTGAACAATTTTTTTTCCTGCAGACAGCTGGGCCGTGCATATAAACATTTGTAGCTTTTAGCAAGCCTTGTTGTAAATCTGGCCAATAATCTTGAATTGGTTATTCATGTGATTCTTGGTACAATCACGATTATTCAATAAGTGCTGTCCAATCACTGAATCTCATTTAATTTTTGACATTATATTCTGAGTTTTGCAAGCACAGACAGTGCAGGTAGTACTCTACACGTTGTAAACAGCCAAAGGGTCGTGTTGTTTTATATGATCCCGAGTCATTAGGACATATGGTCCATGGACCTGCTATTTTGCTGTCAGAATCAAGAATGAAGATAAAAGCACAAAAATACAGTTTTCTTATCAGCTGTAAATTCTCTAAAAAATACAAATTGTGCTGTCATTTCAGTCATTGCTATCACCCTTTAAGACAATTCAAATGGCACCAGAATCTTTTGCTGTGTTCAGAATTAATATTGGATTTTAGATTTCTCACCATACAACACCCAGAACAAAGAAGTGTTGAACACAGTCGTTGCTATATTTGACATGGGGCCAGACATTGAGAATTAAATGAGCGCTTTGTTTCGTGGAGCAGACCTCTTTAGGAAAAAGTTTGTGACATGCCAGGTGGTGCTAATCAGGCCTTAAGTGGGTAAGCTGGCATTCGTAATATTCCAGTTTAATAAAAATTCCGTTGGTGAGCATTGTGTAATTCAAAAAGAAAGAATGTGCTTACTGTAGTGCCACAGATGTATTAAAAAGGGATCTGTGTTAGCAAATAGATGCAAGTGCTAAAGTATGCAGTGAGGAACATGTAAATCAAACCATAAGGTTGAATATTGGTACTTGCAGATCTGACTCCGATAACTGAGGAAAATCAAGCAATAGAGAAAATCAAAATGGCTGCAGGGTTGGGAATCTCCTGCTGTGGTGTTTAAACCCACATTATACAGGTTTAACATAACTCTTTCACATTTCATTCTTAAATATAATGCTAAATGAGATCTGATCTTCGAATACCTTACAAATCTTTGCAGCTACCACAGCATTTAGCAATTATCTTATAGCGCCCTAAAACTGCAGGGAAAATGTTACAGAGATAGTAGGAACTGCCGATGCTGGAGAATCTGAGATAACAGAATATCAGAAATGGGTCTAGACCCGAAACGTCAGCTTTCCTGCTCCTCTGATGCTGCTTGGCCTGCTGTGTTCATCAAGCTCTACACTTTGTCACATCAGGGAAAATGTTATGACTGCATTACGAGCCACATTAACAAGAAGTCAGTTATAAGTATAAAAGTACTGTATAACAACTTTTTGTATCATGAGTCCTTTAATGTAGTTAAATATCTGAAAGCGTTCACAGGAATTTTATAAAGAAATAATTGATAAAATAATTAATTGTTAGGGAAGAAACCACAAGCTTGTTGAAAATATATGCTTAGGAACTACCTAAAAGGAAGAAAGAGAGAGATATAAAGAAATACAGGGAAAGGAAAATTCCAGTATTTTAGTTAACTAATGGTATTAATGCCAATGGTGCAATAATTAACACTGGTGATACTCAATATTACAAGCAGGTGGAGAAAGGATGAATCTGCTCTCCCCTTTTCAATCTCACTATTTGGCCACAACAAAGATATAAATTATTTTTAGTCTGAGACAATACCTCCCATCAATTAAAGTCCACTTAATTAATGACTATTGCAAAAGTAAGAAGTCAATACATTTTCTTGACTGAAAGTGCAATTTTATTATCTACTAACTCTGAGAAAAGAAATGAAGACATAACTTAAAGGATAGTGTCCAGTACAAAAAAGATGATGAGGAATACACAGTTTAAAGTTCATGGGGCATCCTTGAAGCATACATTTTTAACCTCCCATTTTTAGTTGGTGTCATGAATCATCAGCAATAGTGAATGTTTTATTACCATTATGACATCAAGAACCAGAATTGGAGAAGCTTAAATATCCTGAAGGGTCAGAGTGCTGAAGGAAAATTCAGAGAAATGGAGAGTAGAGGCAATTGAGGGATTTGAAAAGACTGAATAGAGCCATTTATTAACTGGGAGCAAATGCAGGTCAATGAGCACAGTTTTTTTTTATTTCTTCATTGGTATGTGTGTGTCACTGGCTGAGCCTAAATTTAATGCCCACCCCTAATCAGACTGGCTTGACAGGGCCATTTCAGAGGGCAGTTAAGAGTCAACCGCATTGCTGTGGATCCGGAATCACAAGTAAGCCAGACCGAGTAAAGATGGTAGATTGCCTTCCCTAAAGGACATTAGTGAATAAGAGGTTTTTGAAACAATGGTTACATCATTGCCATTAGGCTAGCTTTTAATCACAGATTTTCATTTATTCAAATTTCAACTTCTGCCATGGTGGGGTTCGAACCCATGCTCCCAAAGCACAAATTAATAAGTGAATGGAATGTGGTGCAAGTTCAGATAGGGGCAACAGATTTCTGGATTGTCTCCAGTCTACCTACAGTGGAAGATTCAAAGCTGGCCAGGATAGGCATTTTGAGCCGGGATCAGACCACCCAACTTAGGTTGCGATCTAGCTAGGGATTTGGCACTTTTATGGTTAAAATGAGCTAGGTGTGAAATTAAGGGGGCCTATTAAGAGAATAAAGCCATATAATTCCATAGTTTTGAACCAACAACAATAAACTTTATTGTGTCACTTTCAAGGGTAATACAGCCTACAGTACATGTAAAATTTATTTCCATGACTGTGTAATGACTCAGGTTCTGCCCACAATTCCAAGTCAGCATTAAGAAGTTGCCATGTTTCTTTTTTTACAATCACAGGGCAAGTAATAGGATGGAAAAATATGATCAGTTAAGCAAGGAGCTATTTCTAATCGCTTGGTGAACAATGACAGAGTGGCACCAGCAAGAGTTTGGCAAGCAAGTTGGCTCCATCTTCATCATCTTCCCAAAGGAATTATACACTGCATGTAGAACCTGAAAAGACAGGAAATGATATACTCCTCCTATCAAGAGTATAAACTGGCAACATTGTCTTGTAAGCTGTATCCATATCCATAACATGTCCTTGACAAGAACATAGATGGTGAAATTCTTCCTGTCTGTACACTTATTTAAAAGTGGCACAGAATTACAACAGAAAATCCTAGTTTGTGGTCACATTGACCTTTTTATTAAAACTATCAAAAATTAGGAACGTTGCCATCTTACAACAGCACATGATGCAGTTGCATCACAATTAACTCATTTGATTTCCCACACTTCACTACCCTGAGTATCTACCACCAGCTCCCCTGACATGAATTTAGAATCTGGGACAGTAATGCTAAGCACTTGCACTGTTAAGCTAAGGGCTGTGCAGTGGAATTCGAGTCCTGGGTCACTTAACTCCTGATCTAGCCACACCAAGGAAGCAACTGCCAAATGCACACTAGAGCACCTCTCTGTAAGGATTATAAGTGGTAAAATAAACTAAAATTAATGGGGGCAGAGGGGAATGGAGGGAGATGAACTGTCCATGGTGTCATTGGAGGTCAGCAACTGCACGGCTAAGTCTCTCCAACACAGGTATTTTAAAAATGCAGAGGTAAAGGCAATTAACATATAGTAAATTGAGAACATTTAATCAAGTAATGTACTTGTACTTCAATATAAAAATAACCTGTTCCCAAACATGTTACCTTTATTGCGAATGAATAGGTCCTGACCCAATGAACTTAAACTATAGATACAAATATCCCGATCAGATGCAGGAGTAAGCTATTTGACTCCTCCAGCAGGTGCTGGCATTTGATAAACTCATAGCAGATTTGATGAGGGTCTTTACTTTCCTGTCTATCCCCTATATTCTTTGACTCCCCTGTCAATCAATAAAACTTCTAAGTAAGCCTTAATAATTATAAATGAGCCTGCCTTCAAGCAGAGCAAACATGATGGGTAGAATGGCCTACTTCTGTTTCTATATCTTATGGTCCATTGGTCTTTGGTGAAGAGAATTCTGTTGACCAACAACTCTCTGAAAGAAAGAATTTTCCATCTCCATTTTAAATGGGAGATCAATTTCTTTTTTAAACTCAATCCTTTATTTCTATGCTCTCCAACAAGAGGAAACTTGCTCTCAATCATGTCCTTGCATAGTTAAAAAGTACAGCATGAAACCAAGACAAAACTTGTCTCTAAGCCAGGAAGCATGATTGATAAGCCAAAATTGGTAGCAGATCTTATTAAGTCAATTGACTAGAATGGAATTCAGCTTCATGAATGGACTATCAATCTTATTGCATAGAGGTCCAATAGTTTTAGAATGAATTCCTGTCAGCAACAGTGTTTCCTTCTGACCTTGAACAGAGCTAGTGATCTCTACAGCATGGCTGTCCCCTTTCCTGACCTCAGTTTGAATCTGGCATCAAGGTATGGGAATTTCTCCAGGCATATGGCAGTAGTGATGTCAGCAAGCAGGATAATGCCACCAAACACATTGAAACACAGTGATAATGTAGAAGCTAAAATATCACGAACAAACTTTTAAAAATAATCTAAAATGGGAATCTTTTGATTAGAGAAAGTTGGCAATAGATATAAAATGGTTCCTTCAGTCCCATTGAGGTTGTTCAGCAGTAATTATGAACTAGTTCACCATTAAAAATTCTACAGGGTGGAACTTTTTCAAGGATTTTTACGGCAAGGTTAATAGAGAAACAGTGAAACCTATTGTCAGTTTAATGATTTCCAAGAGGTTACAGTACATGGGGACTTAAAGAATGCACCCTCTGGAGAAGTACAATCATTGACAGCAACTTCTGTACTTCCACATCTGCACATGTATGATCTCTGGACACTGCTGTCAGGCTCAGACGAGTCATAATGATGAATGCATAGAATTTGACGTGCACTACAGCCATCAAATCTGAATCAGTATTTTATGGCATATTGAGAGGGCTTCCACAAAGCATTTTGTATGTTCAAATCACTAAGAGAGTTAGGAGGATGTTCTACCTATCAGTCTATCATCCTCGTGTTTCTCTTGTTTTTTTTTATTCTTCCTCTCTCTATCCTACCTTTCATATTCCTTTCCAACTCTATCATTGAAGGAGAGATATGACAGGTCAAAATGAGGGGGTACATAGTGCACTTCCAATGTAATGCGGTTGGTCAATGGCCCATCTGACCAACAATGCTACCTTTCTCAGTTCACAATTACCATTACTGTCATGATGAATCAGAACCCCGAAATGTTACAAAGATTTTGTCTTAAACTTTTAATGAGAAATGTCCCTTTTATTTTAAAAAAAGGGCTGCTACAGACAAAGAAAAAAATGATGCAAATTTAGTCACAGTCTGGCAAAGTCTTGTTTGGGACCCACAGAATATTGCACCTGACGAGGTGTCAGAGAAACTTCACACCAAGGGAGAGATGGAACAGGAGGAGATAGGAGGCTGTTTGTCTCCCCCTCTCTCAGCAGAAAACCATCTCTTATACATGATTTTTTTATGTTTTGCCCTACCTGGAATACAGTAAAAGAAAGGGTTAAAAACTCACTACAATCCTGGTTTGTATACGCTGATGGCAGGACTGTTAGTGGACAAAGATGTGCTAGTGAACAGAGCTTTATGTGTACCAGACTGGGTTTGACCACCAGGTGCTGTGAAGGTCAGCGTTGAAGAACCACACACTAATCACTGTCGCACTGTAGGTAAAAGGACTCTCTCACTTTCAGTGCTGGATGCCAGTTAGTCAGCAGGCCAATCAGAAGAAAACAGGACGAGAAGGATTCATTCATTCTGAGTGTTGCTGGCTAACCACAGTCAGAAGGAAAAAAGGTCAAAAAATTTCAACTAACTGCAAAGTCAAGTATTCTGAAATTGAATGTTCAACCATCAACTTTTTACTATCAATTCTTCAAGAACCGCATAGATAAATGGATCCACACATTGTTTAACTTGTATTGTTTTTAGACTCACTTTATATTTCTATTTTGTGTGTACATGTGTTGTGTTATTATTTCTTTTGCATTTGTTAACTAATACATTCTTTTGGTGTCACTCTTTTGTGAACTCAATAAAACTTAATTAAATTGGCTCCTTTTAAACCCTAAATTCATTTGGTCTGGCAGAAAGGCATCCACAAGGGAGGGATCGTTTTCAAGTATGCTTGTTGTGACCGAGGGCGAGGGTGAATAGACAGGAATCAGTTTATCCCTCCTCAGCTGGAGCATATGGTGTCTCATCCAGAATAATAAGAAATTGGGGAATCTTGCCTGGGGTCGAGATGTTACAAGTGCTCTGTACATTATCCCCGACCCTTCACCCTGAGAATCATTGCACAAAATCTCCACTGGTCAGTGCCATATCCAACACAAAGGCTGTGGTTGTCCTTAATTATCCCTCCTCTATTCATCACATCTCAAACTTAAAATGTCGTGGAGAGGCTAGAAAAATGCTTTGTTTTTTAAAGGTGTTTGACCATCAGTGATATTGCTTTTGGAGTTAATGGTAAGTCAGAAGGTGACAGGTTTTAAGTTCCAGTGCAGGACTTCAACATAGAATCCAGACTGAAATTGCAGTATCGTACTGAGAGAGGCAGCGTTGTTAGTACAGTATCTTTCAGATAAGAAATCAAATACAAGGCTTCCTCTGACTGTTCAAAGTGCATAAATGGGTTCGTTGAGTGCAGAGGCCCAAGCAAACAGGTTAAAGTTACTGCCAGTGCCAAGGCAGAAGAGTGAGAGATAGTATCAAGAATATGGTCAAGTTGCTGGGCAATGATAAAGATGACTGACCAGCAATAAGCAGAGATGATGATTCCATGCATCATATGCCACTTTGATGTTTTTAGGCCTGAATGGTAAGTACAGCAGCAACTGTAATATTGTGATCTTTAAATGAACAGTGAGCCTTGACAAAAACAATATGCCAAACAGCACAGCAAAAAAAAAAACAGGGGAAGTTACGTGTAATGCAATGGAGTATTTCTCACAATGTCCAATATACCACAAATGAAGCCCTTTAGTTATTCCTCAGTATTCTAATTTTACTTTGGTCGAAGTTATTTTGGTTTATCATTGATAACATGTCGTATATTTTTTATAAAAAGCTTTGACAGGTTTCTGTGACTCAAGTTTGAGCAGGCATATTACCTAGGGAAATGCAGAAAACAGTGCAAATTGAATGATCACTGAAGCACTCTGGGTTAATTAACAACTGTACCTGGAGATAATAATTGAATGTCTGCACATTTACTGGCTCAACAGCTTCTCCAAGCAAGTTTCACCTAACAATGTCATCAACCCTCTTTCAATAAAAGTGCTCATACAAACGAACTATTAATATAGCTGACAAATAACCAATTTTAAAAGGGTGCTTTCTTGCCATTTATTTTCACTTTCCAGCCACACCATGGCCCTCCTGGTGTAATTGCATAATGGAAACAGCTTTTTGTATTAAAGCTTTGAACTCTTTAGGTCCACAGGTGTAATACAATTTTATACTTGGTCTTAAGACACTGGAGCAGCAATACAGATGATTCTTTAAAACTCATCTGACTTTCCTGTCCTCAAACTTCTTTGACACCCAAATATATCTAGTTGCTTTGTTAAGCTTCTACCTATGTACATCAATATCTGGCTCTTATCAATACTGTTCAGAATTTTTTAACTCTTCCAAAAAAATCATTGCAAAAACTCACTTTTCCAGAAAGCAAGCCTCAACATTCTTAATATTTATTTACATCTTAACCCTCAGGATCTGAGCCTAGCTGGACTTTTAGCTTTGCAGTACCGTGATTTTGAAATTCATCAATGTAAAACTGCTGTTAATCCACTACAGTTCCTAACTCTGATTGGAGGTAGTCTTGGAGATACCATGCCTATCCTACCTCTCACCCTTCACCTAGCTTCAATCCAACTAGTCTCTGCTCTTCTCTCACCCAAGCCATCTTTATCCAATACACTCTTTCTGACCCCATTCTCTGGTCTCCTCTCCAAAGTCCTCATTCCTGACACCTGACTGTGATTCTCTACCTCTGAAGCCAGACACACATTCTTCCCCCTCTAGTTGTAATCTCCTATCTTTATTCCTGCTGACAGCTTTCAAATCCAGCCATTCTCTCCTCCTTTAAACTGAAAGTAAAGCTTTTTCGAAAGTGTCCCTTGAAAACTCCCAGTTCAGGTACAGCATGGAGCTAGATACAGGGAAAAATTTACTCTACTTTTGAACTAAAATTAAATGGAAAGTAAAGCTTTCTCGACACCTTTGCCATCAAATACACCCTGGGCAGGTACAGCACAGAGTTGGATATAAAACCCCTTCTCCTCTTTAAAGCTGAATTTGAAGTTCTCTCTACTGTTTTGAATTGGAAGTAAACCATTAAAATAAAAGTAAAGCTGCCTTGATATCATCATCAAGCACTTTCAGGACAGGGGCAGCACAAGGTTAGATACAGAGTAAAGCTCTTTCTACTCTTTTAAACCCAGTCCTTCTCCGTGCTTTCTCTCCTAAATCTGCTCCTTCCTCAGAATTCCAGCTGTCTGCCATTAGCCTGCTCTACTTTCAGTCCTCTCCAAGCAGGGATTACTCTCTTACAGTGCCTGGTCATTTTTGGCAGAGAGGGGAGATAGGGCAGGGGTTGTGATATCAGTCATATCACCAGGTTAGAGTGATAACCACTGACAACAATGAGCAGAGGGAAGAAATGTTCCTGTAGGCTTCCTGTAGATTCCTGTAGGCTTCCTGAAAGACTCCCAGACAATCTGAGGGGCAAGGCAGCCTTATAGCCCACTGTAATGTCTCCCCAGATCCTGCAACAGCCTCATAGATCATCTGAAAGGAGAGACATAGTATTCGTTGTCTTCATGTCTTTGGGAGGGAGGAAAATAAAATGATGGTGAATTCTTTAAATGGCCACTTCAGGGACCGTTTCAGTCTTCTCAAAGGTGGCAGGTGAATTAGCAGTCACAGTGGATTCAGCAGCTGGAGAAAGAGAAGCAATGCATTCATACTGAGCTTTACAAACTTTAGGAATTGTTACGGCTATAATCAGGTACTTTAGTTGTGTTATCAGTGTTGCTATATGTATCTAAATTGAGCACAGGATCCCAGATAGTCTGTTTTCCTGTGATCTTGCTAAATAATGAACAGGGCACTGGGAATAGCAGCCCTACTTTTCTTCAAAGTTATGGAATAGCATCTTTTATGTCCTCCTGAGACCCTCATCATAAAGACAACACTTTTGACCACGCAGTGCCACATTAGTGCCGCACCTGGTCGGGTTTCAGCCTTTATGTCCTCAAGTGTGTGGAATGGGACTTGAGCTCATAATTTTCCATTGTTCCTGTGGAGATGTTCTTAAAGGAACGCAGGCTCAGAATGGAGCCCCTTATGAACAATCATGGTAGAAGGGAGATGGCAATACATCCAACCACCTTATAACCTAGCACACAGTGAAAGAACTGATTCACCCTATAAGGGTGCTCAGAGTAAAGCAATGCTCTGGTGTATGTATAGAACATACCCTACCAATTTTACAGCTTTACTCCTTTTTTTTTAAACCCATCACAATCTTTCTTTTTCAATGACTTTCTAGATTCGTAATCACAATCATTGCTTGCCACATCAGCTTCTCATTTTCATTCAGGGCAATTTTATTTAAAAGAGCGTCCCCAGTCTCCTCCACCAACACAATCCTGTGAAATATCTGTGCTCTTTTCATTCAAATCTCTTGCACATTCTCAATTATAACTGTTCCACCTTTGGTGGTTATATCTTCTGTCACTGGGCCTAAAGCTCTGGAATTCCTTTGTACACCACTCTTGCTCATTTTCCTCCTTTAAGATATTCTTTAAAACTTACCTATTTAACAAAGTTTTTGTTGTTATCTGGCCTAATTAATTCAGGTGGTCCAGTGCCACCGTTTCTTTTACAAAGATTTTGTGAAATATGTTGGAATGTTTCATTACGTTAAAGGCACTAAATAAATACACAATTCTCCACTTTGCATTATGACACACATACCCTCATTTGGAAAAAATCACCAAACCAGTGCTTCCCAAACTTTTTAACTTGGTGACACCAATGCAAGTTTTGAAAATTGTCACAAGCCGTCAGTGAGAATTGAGAGGTGAGAGGGGCTGGTAAGAATGTGAACCTGTCTGTTAATACAGTTCTAACTTGTGCAGAGCCCCATGATGGCTATTGCTACCCTCAGAGCTCGTGACACCAAACTTTCAGCTCTGGACCACACTTGGGGTCTCAACCACTATTCTGGGAAACCCGACAGCTAGCACAGTTGGCTGGACAGCTGGTTTACAATGCAAAGTGATGCCAACAATTCCCACACCAGCTAAGGTCACCATGAAGGTCCTGCTTTCATGACCTCACCCCAGCACTGAGGCGTGGTGACCCGCAGGTAAAACTTGTCATCAGTTATCTTTCTCTAATGAGAGAGCAGCCCTATCGTCCTTTGGGACTGTGGTGGCCACTATTGCATAACACTGAGAGGCTGCTAATACTTTAGCCATAAGTGATCATAGATACACCCCAGGCATTCTCATTCCATGCCACAATTAAGTGGATATCCAAGATACTTCAGAAAAAAATGTAGAAATAAAATTAAAATGTTACGAAGAATCACAGACATTTGCTGATTCTTTTGGAATATTTGTTATTGAAACCCCTTCCTCCCTTCAAGGCCGTAACAAAAGTTTTATCATAAAGCATGCAAGCACTGAATAGTTTCAACCTCACAATTAATGACAGCAGAAAAAAGTAAAACATCACAGAACAATGCTGGTATGTGTTTCATTCAACAAATGGAATGTGTTTCTGAAAAGGTAGCTAGTTGTCTGACATGTCTCAGTATTCGCATTCTTACCTCGAGTTTGAAAGTCACAAGAATATAATCCAAACTGATACTCCCTCAGTTTTGCACTGCTAATTAGGGCAATCTTTTGGATAAAAAGTTTCTTTTAGATGAAAACTTAAATTGAGCTTCTGCACATCCTCTCAGATGGACATAAATGACCCATAGCACTATACAGGATTTCTCCTTGTCCAACATTTAACCCTAAACTAACTCCACTGAAACTGATTATCTGGTTATTTATCTCCTGGTTGTTTTTCTGCATTACACCAGTGGATACATTTCAAAGTCACTTCAATGGCAGTGCAGCACTTTGGGCCATGGTCAGGACATGAAAGATATCATACAAATGCAAAATATATTTTTTTAATATTCAAATGGGCAGACAATCTAAAGCCAAATGTACAATTGAGCACAGTTTATGTTGGAATTCTTCAAACTGTCCCAATTGGGTCTTCTTGTAGACACTGATAGTTTTAAGACCAATTCTGAAATATGTTGTCAGTTTCCCTCTGTTAAAATTCTATTGAATTGTGTTAAAATTCTATTGAATTCTATCACAAAAGATTAAGCAGTGCTGATATTTCTTTTTGTTTTGCTTGTGGATCCTGCTTTGTCCAGAATTGTTTTTGATCATATATTACACCAGCATTTTTGTTAGACTCTGAGAATTGAATAAAACATCAAAATAAAAAGGATTCAATGCATTTCTTTGGCATCTGAAGCTTCTTTAATAAAATGTAATTTAAATAACTTGTCTGACAAACAGGAAGTACAGAATGGAAATTCTGATCATTTTAAATGTTCAGATCAGCTCAGCTCTGTTGCGTCTGAGCACTGAGCACCTAATTTAACTTTACAATGCAGGGTGTCACTTTGGGAGTGCAGTGTTGTGGAAGGCCCTGGCCCTTGGACAAGATACTAAACTGAGGTCCCGTTTTTCCAGATTACACAAAAAAGATCGTATTTCAAAGATTCCTCGTCCAGACACTATCACCAAAGCTGCTCATTGCTATCGGAAGATCTAGATGTGTGCAAGATGCTGTTTTAATTTTCTGCCTAGCAAGAATCAGGGCAGAGGGCCATCTTTTGGATTACATTGGGAGGCTAAGCTTCCATTACAAAGGACACTGGTGAGACTACATCTGGACTATCGTGCACTGTATTTGTCACCTTAAAGATGCAAATTTAGAGAAGATTGACTACATTATACCAGAATGAGCAAGCGGTCTTATAATGAAATATTGGACAAGCTAGGTAAGTATCAGTTGGACTTTAGAACAGTAAGCAATAATTTCATTGAAACATATTAGACCCTGACCAGTCTTGAAGAGTTGGATGTGGAGACGATATTTCCTCGAATCTCGAATTATTATGATTATTGTGGGTCATCCTACGGCACATGGACTGCAGCGGTTCAAGGTAACAGCTCACCACCACCTTCTCAAGGACAACTAGGGTCAAGCAACAAACACTGGCCAGCCCATGTCCCACAAGAGAATCAAAAAACATGAGGAGCTGGCCATTAAAAACTCAATCAAGTTAGTGAGACCCGATTTCCCATGCACAAAGCCATGTTGACTATCCCTAATCAGTCCTTGCCTTTCCAAATACATGTCTCTCAGGATTTCTGATTTTCTGATGAAGGGTCTAGGCCCGAAACGTCAGCCTTCCTGCTCCTATGATGCTGCTTGGCCTGCTGTGTTCATCCAGCTCTACACCTTGTTACCTCAGGATTCCCTCCAACTTGTCCGCCACTGATGTCAGGCCCACCAGTCTATAGTTCCCTGGCTTTTCCTTACTACCTTTCATACATAGAACATAGATCAGTACAGATGAGGTGCATTTCGTTTTTGCACAGAGTCATGAGCTTTTGGAAGTCTCCTCCAAAGAAGAGAAGTAGAGATTTTGATTTTAAGGCAGAGGTAGACAGTTTCTTGTTAAGCAACTTGTGAAAGATTATCGGGGTCAGGATTGTGGATTTGAGGTTACAATCAGAATAGCCTGATCTTACTGAATGACAAGGCAGATTAGTGGGGCCAAATGACTACTCCTGCAACTTGTTTGTATATTCTCGCGTTAAAAACAACAAAATGCTTGGTTTGATTTCTACATTGGACATAAAATAACTCCCTGTACTATTTCTCTCTAGTGCCCTGGCCAAGATCTGTCCCTTTCCCAACACCTAGATGTTATCTGGCAGCCTTTGGCATTGCTGTTTCCACGCCTGAAGTGGCTGTGCGTGCAGATCAAAAAGTCTGTTAACCACTTTGGAAGGTTGTGGTAGGCGCTACGTGAATGCAAGACCTTTCAAAATAATTTGTTGTAGGCCTTTGGGAGTATTGATTTGTACGTTCTCCTGAATTTTGGGAGAGAAGCGGCCCACAGTCACACGTCAGTCTTACTTCAAGTGAGACACTGCATAACCTTTGAACCATATGTGGAATGTGAACTCAATACACCCAGGTCTTTCGTAACGCACAAACGTCTTTGTCCTCGGCTAGTACCGGAGGGTTTGCGATTTCTCTCTCCCTCTCTCCCCACCCCGCGCCCAGATATAGTTCCCGAACCTGATCAAACTGCTCTCATTCCAACTCCAACATGACTTGGCCGGATCTTCCTCTCAGCGTTAATGCCGTCCAAAAAATGATAAAGAGCAGACACCCTTTTGCAGACACGCAGCAGGTCTGTCACTATCCGAGAGCAGAAATGAACTGACACAAGCAGTTTCATTTCTCAGGTGCCGAGCGACCGCTGCCGATTTACAAACACCCTCCCCCCAATTCGGCTTTGCAAACCTTCGCTCTGTGCGTGCACATAAAGCACAGTGGCGTTCCTAGCCTCGCCGTCCTCTGTCGGAATTTTTGCAGGAAAGTAGTTTTTCAAAGTGGCAGAGCCCGAGAGACTGGCCGAGATATAGAGAGAGTGAGAGTGTGTGTGTGTGTGTGTGTACGCGACCAGACAGTGGATGGGGGCGGCACTCCAGAAGCTTTTGGCTGCTCCCCAGAGTTGGCAGATCCTTTGCGTTTCCGCCAGCTCACTTACCTTGACGTTTCCGAGACAGAGAGGGAGGGAGAGAGTGAGTGAGGGAGAGGGAGACCGAGTATCGGTGTGAATGAGTCACATTCTCACGCCAGCCCGCAGCAGCGGCTCCGCTCTTCAGCTGAAATCCTTCAGGCAGTGGCTGAGCCAGTCTCCAGGAGAGGGAGAGACTGTGGGAGACAAGGGGCGGGGAAAGATCCCTCCTATCTCTCTCTCTCTCACACACACATACACGCTCTCCTTTTGGTACCTGTTTGCAGTTTGGACGGACTACAACACCTGAGGCAAGGGAGGCAGCCAGGCAGGAGGAGACTCTACAAACCCAAACTCTTTTCAAATCTAAAAACCCACAAAACAACTGTACTCCAGAGCCGAGGAGGGGGAGCTATCTGACTACTGATCGACTCCAACTTTTTATTTTACTTCCCCATCGCCCCCAACCTACCTACCTCTCTGCTTATTTGCCATCGCTGCTGCCCTGGACCCTCAGAGCCGATGGAGGCCGGTGTGGAAGACCCTTTAGCCGGGAGGATTTGAGCGTGGGTTTGTTCGTGCTTTTTTTTTACAGGTGGAGATTATTTTTGTTATTTTTCCCCAACCTCCGCCTTTTTCGTCTCAGTGGTTGCCGGGGTTGGTTTATTTACAGTCCTGCGAACTTGTGTGTGTGTGTGTTTGTGTGATCTTTTAAAAAAAAGATTAAAAATACACAAGGGAAGGAGGTGGAGGTCGAAGTTGAATGGGGAACCAGGTGGAGAGACTGACCCATCTGAGTTACGCCGAGGTACCTACGGCGGAACCGGCCGGGACGGAGCCCGGGCCCCGCATCGGGGTCTCCTACATCTTTTCAGTGGATGAAGACGACGATTTGGCGGACGAGCCGGTGGCCGGAGAGACGGGCTCGGGTAGGGGTCCAGCCGCCGGCGGCGAGAGGGAGTGTGACCGGAATAAAGAGGAGGAGGACGGCGGGGACACGTACGACCTCCTCAACGAGGTGGAGTGCTCCGTCTACTACCGGGACCAGTGCATCTACGAGAAGAGGAGGAGAGCAGGCCGCTCGGCCAAAGGAGACGGCCAGGAGCTGCTGACCCCTCAGCCGGCCGAGATCCTGCTGGGAAGGTGCCAGCCCGGAGATCTGGTGGAGTTCGTGGCGGCGGGTCAGTGCCCTCATTGGGCCGTCTATGTAGGCGACTTCCAGGTGGTGCACCTGCACCAGGCGGAGATCCGCAACGACTTCCTGACGGATGCTAGCCAGGGCCGGAGGGGCCGCCTGGTCAGCCAGCGGTACCGCTTTAAGGCGCTGCCGGCCGACGCCGTGGTCCGAGCCGCCCTGCAGCAGGTCGGCGTGCGGGGGGCTCAGCTCCGCTGGAGTAGCTCCGAGTGTTTCGCTGCCTGGTGCCGCTGCGGCCGCCGAGAGTTCAAGGTTGGCGGAGAGCTGCGCATCGGCAAGCAGCCGTACCGCTTACAGCTTCACCTGTCCGAGCACAGCAGCCACACGCTCGAGTTCCAGAGTCTACATGACCTGATCCTGGAGAAACGCCGCAATGACCAGATCGGCAAAGTGGCTTTGATCCGGGAGCTGGCCGCCCATCTGCACGGCGACGAGCAGCAGAGGACTGACCACCGACACCCCTGCTGAGGGGATCAAGTACCAACCTGGGACTGACCCCACCATCCCAATACTGAGAGGGTTAAACCT